CCTGCTAGTCAGCGGGTGACCCACTGCTCGGACGCTCGCACAGGCCGGCACCTGGCCACGTTTACGTGTCGGCCGGGGTTGAGCCTCTACACCTTGACCACTGAGTCTCCTCCTGTCCCTGCGTCTGGTCTGGTAGCTGCGTCTGGTCAGGTGTTTGCTGCAGCGTCCAGGTCTGGTCCTGAGTCTGCCCCCTGCTCGTGTCGCCTCCTGTCTCACGAGACTCTCTTGTGGCACCACCGTCTTGGTCACCCCTCCCTGCCTCGTCTCCGAGGCATGGCTTCCCGTGTCCTTGTCTCTGGTCTTCCCCGGTCCCTCCCTCCCCTTCCTTCGGGGCCTGGTCCTTCCTGTGTCCCCTGTGTCGAGGGGCGGCTACGGGCTGCTCCTCACTCCTCTCCGTTTCCCCCGACAGAGGCCCCGCTGCAGACGCTTCACATGGACGTGTGGGGCCCGGCCCGCGTCCGTGGACAGGGTCACGAGCGCTACTTTCTGCTGGTGGTTGACGACTACTCGCGTTACACCACAGTCTTCCCCTTGCGCAGCAAGGGCGATGTCACTGAGGTGTTGATCGACTGGATCCGCGCAGCTCGTCTCCAGCTCAGGAGGAGCTTCGGCTCCGACTTTCCTGTTCTGCGTCTGCACTCTGACAGAGGCGGAGAGTTCTCCTCTGGCCTTCTGCGAGCCTACTGCCGTGCGCGAGGCATCCGCCAGACCTTTACGCTTCCGGACTCTCCACAGCAAAATGGGATTGCTGAGCGCCGCATTGGCATGGTCATGGACGTCGCTCGTACGTCCATGATGCATGCGGCTGCCCCCCATTTTATGTGGCCGTTTGCGGTTCGGTACGCGGCGCATTAGATCAACCTTCACCCTAGGGTCTCCAGGCCGGAGACCTCCACAGCTTTGCTGTGGACGGGGAAGGTAGGCGATGCGTCTGCGTTCCGTGTCTGGGGATCTCGGGCGTTTGTTCGCGACTTGTCTGCGGACAAGCTGTCCCCTCGTGCTGCTCCTTGTGTCTTCCTTGGCTTTCCCCCTGACGCGCCAGGGTGGCAGTTCTACCACCCCACCTCTCGTCGTGTTCTGTCCTCTCAGGACGTCCCGTTTGACGAGTCGGTCCCCTACTACCACCTCTTCCCCTACCTCACTCCTTCCCTCCCCCCGCCACCGCTCTTCCTTGTGCCAGGTCCCCCCCCGGTAGACCCCCTCCCCCCTCAGGGTCCTGCCCCTTCAGGTGTGTCCCAGGTAGACGCGGTCGAGCCAGTCGAGGTTACTAGTGACTCTGGTGCTGCTGTGGGTGCTGAGCCTGGGGGTGCTGACTCTGGGGGTGCTGCGCGGGTGGGTACTACACGTGGGGGTGCTGGGCCTTCGGGTGGTACTGCTGGGGGTGCTGAGCTCGGGGGTGCTGAGCTTGGGGGTGCTGAGCCTGTTGGTGCTACGCGTGGGGGTGCTGAGCCTTGAGGTCCTACGTCTGGAGGTGCTGAGCTTGGGGTTGCCACGTCTGGAGCTGCTGAGCCTGGGGGTGCGGAGCCGGCGGCCGCTGGGCCTGCTCGTGTGGCGTCTGGCGGTGCTGGGCCTGGAGGTTCTCCGGGTGCTTCGTCTCGGCGGGAGCCACTCTCTCCACAGGAGCTGCGTGAGTGGTTTGCCCGGCACTGGAGGCGTACTACTGGAGCTTCTGCGGCTGCTGAGGGTGCTGGTGCCGCCGGTCCCGGAGGTGCTCGTGCCGCGAGTACTGGAGTTGCTGGGCCTGCGGGTTCGCCTGGAGCTGGAGCTGCTAAGGGTGTTGGCGCTGAGGCTACTGCTGTCAGTCCTGGAGACGGTTCTGCTGGGGGTGCTGCTGGTCCTGCTGCGGGTGCTGCTGGTCGTGCTGGAGGTCCTGCAGCTGGCGGTGGTGTTGGCGCTGGTGCTGTCCCTGTTGTGTGTGGAGTCGCCGCACGGCCTCGGCCATACTTCCTTCCGCTCCTTCAGCAGGTTCTTGGTCTTCCTCCTCCCTTAGAGTGTCCATCGCCTGTCCAGTCCCACTCAAAGCTTCCGCCGGCCTCCCCACTGCCTGCTCCTTCTCCCTACACTGGTCCTACTGGAGGTCTTGCTGAGCGTCGTGAGCCTGCGTCTCGTCCTGCGTCGCCTGTTTGTGCTGCTCGCACTAGTGGTCGCGGTTCGCGTCAGCGTCCTCCTCCTGTCCCTGGCACGCACCGGATGTCTCTGCGTCCGTCCACTGCTCCTCTGCGTGCCCCTTTGCCTTCTCCTCCTGAGTCCTCTCTTCCTGCACTTGCCGACCCAGAATCTGACTCTCTTCGTGCTGCCAGTCCTACTGTCACGCGTCTCCTTGCTACTGTCGTCACTGACCCCTCCTTTGAGTCCACTGCTGCGTCTGCTCTTGTTGCTGAGCTCGTCGACTTTGCTGCTCGTTGTCGTCTAGACTACGCTGCTAGTCTTGTTGCTGAGTCTGCGTCTGTCTGTCCTCCGTCCGTCGAGGGTGAGTGTGCTCTTGGCACGGACGTCCTTGAGGACAGGCAGGAGGAGTTCCAGTGTCTGGCTGCTGCTTCACCTCATCTCGTGTCCGTACTGCTTACCCCTGAGGGAGACCCGGATGCACTTGACATCCCGACTCCGCGCTCTTACGCGGAGGCCGTAGAGGGTCCCTACTCCTCTCAGTGGCAGGCAGCTATGGATGCAGAGATGGCTTCCTGGAAGTCCACAGGCACCTACGTTGACGCAGTTCCCCCTCCTGGGGCGAACATCGTCAGTGGCATGTGGATCTTGCAGGTGAAGCGGCCGCTAGGTTCTCCACCTGTCTTCAAGGCGCGGTACGTGGCTCGTGGCTTCAGTCAGCGGCAGGGAGTTGACTACTTTCAGACCTTCTCTCCCACCCCGATGATGACCACTCTTCGGGTGCTGCTACACATAGCCTCTCAGCGTGACTACGAGCTTCACTCCCTTGACTTCAGCACTCCTTTCTTGCAGGTTAGCCTACAGGAGGAGATCTGGTTGCGCCGTCCACCTGGCTTCACTGGGACTTTCCCTCCTGGCACCCAGTGGAGCCTCCAACGGCCAGTCTACGGTCTCCACCAGGCACCGCGCGAGTGGCACGACACACTGAGGACTACGCTTGCGGCTCTTGGGTTTGCTCCCTCTATTGCTGACCCGTCGCTGTTTCTGCGCACCGACACCTCTCTGCCGCCGCTCTACATCCTCGTATACGTCGACGACTTGGTCTTTGCCACAGGTGACACTGCTGGACTCGCCCACGTGAAGTCCGAGCTGCAGAAGAGACACACGTGCACAGACCTGGGTGAACTGCGCAGCTACCTTGGCTTGCAGATCACCCGGGACAGAGCACGCCGCACCATTACCCTGACTCAGTCACACATGGTGCAGCAGGTCCTTCAGCGCTTCGGCTTCACGTACTCCTCGCCTCAGGCCACTCCTCTGCCTACTCGCCACTCGCTCTCAGCTCTGCGTTCGGATGAGTCCGTAGAGTCGAGTGGCCCATACCCAGAGCTTGTTGGCTGCCTCATGTACCTGATGACCTGCACACGACCTGACCTTGCATACCCTCTTAGCATTCTTGCACGCTATGTTGCTCCTGGGAGACACAGACCAGAGCACATGGCTGCAGCGAAGAGGGTGTTGTGCTACTTGTGCAGTACGTCGGGCATGGGGCTAGTGCTTGGAGGGCAGAGTCCAGTGGTCCTCACTGGGCACGCAGACGCTTCTTGGGCCGACGACCAGGCTACACAGCGGTCGTCACAGGGTTACACCTTCAGCCTTGGTTCCGGCTCTGTTTCGTGGCGGGCTACTCGCTCGTCTTCTGTTCTCGGCTCTAGTTGTGAGGCTGAGATCTACGCCGGAGCCATGGCTGCTCTGGAGCTTCGCTAGCTCACCTACCTGTTGACTGACCTCGGAGAGCCGCCTCGTTCTCCTCCAGTGCTGTACGTAGACAACAAGGCCATGCTGGTCTTGTGTCGGGAGCAGCGCCTAGAGCACAGAACGAAGCACATTGCTCTCCGCTACTTTCTTGCTCGTGAGCTGCAGCAGCGTGGTCAGTTGCGACTTGCGTACGTGGCCTCTGAGGCCAACACTGCTGGTATCTTCACTAAGGCACTTGCGCCTTGTGATCATCAGCGCTTCTGTACTCAGCTTGGTCTTGTACCTGTCTTGCCTCACTTACTCACTTCTTGACCTTGCTTGTACTATGACATATATATATACTCCTTCTCTTGCTTGTTTCGCCTGTTATATATATATGTGTTCCTGCATGTGAACTGGCCTTCTGGCCTTGAACTTGTGCTCGGAATGTGTGGTGACTTTGTGATCCACCCTGAGCTTTGCTTTGTTTTGCTTGACTGGTCTTGTGACCCCTTGTTCTCCCCCACTTTGCCTATGGGGGTGTGTCAAATTATAATGTTGTGTAGGCTATAGTGGGGTAGCCTATATGGGGTACACATTTCTAGGGTTGCATATTTGTATCACTTTTGTTCCTTAGTCAATCATTCGCGTTTCAGTTTTCTCACATAACTGGCATAAGCCGTCGTACTCTCACGCTAACTAATGACCGGTCGTCCCTATCTCTTCTTGAGTTCGTGTAATGAATGATATTTCTACTCTCTACCTGTCCATGATTGTTATGGTATACCACCGCGCCTCACGCACCTGTGAATACCTTCCGTCGACACATAATCACTTTAGACCTGGACGCAACGACATGCTCTCACATACGCGCATCGTGTTTTTCTGGGTCTCTGCGATTATTACGCTCCACAAACCATGGTCCCCCTTCAGACACTTGTAATATGTCTCGTGCCCTGGTTTAGGCACGCCGAGGGTGCGACATACCTCCCACATCTGCTGATACCCGATCCCGGCAAGAGCGAATGCACCAATCAGCTTAGCCATCAATGGCGGACTACGTGGACCACACTTGCTGCGTGGTAGGTCATCTCTCACTCGACTACTTGACCATAATTCTTCCTTGGCTGAGCAGACATTGCACAACCACATCAATCTCAGACATGCCCTGGACCGCTTCCACGACTCAAGTTGCATTGCACCTTTGCACACGGACTTCACGCACAAAGGCATACACGCAATGTCAACTACAGCCACGGCCTAGGCAACGCTACGCCTTATGGCAAGGATGGCGGGGGCATCAGGGGAGTCTACATCTGATCCGCGTCAAGAGCAGCAAGGAGCCCCGTCAATGAGCGATGAAGCTCGCGCACCACCACAGTGGTTGCACCGATCAGGTCGACTGCAGTCGCTGCGCGCATCACACGGCGCAGACCTTGGAGCGCAGTCCCAAGCTGTCCAACGCCCGCAACTCCACCCCGCGTGGGCGCAGCCAACACGGGCGCAAAGAGCTCGGCAAGCCGGTCAGCCGGCCCGCAAACCCTCAGAGAGGCGCCAAAGCTGCCTCAGAGACACATCAGGCACATCCGTCGAAGGAGAAGGCCCCACCAGTGATTGTACTGGAAGTAGCGACGGATATTGTGGCGGACGAGCAGGAGCCATAGGCAGTAGCGACGGATACTGTGGCGTCACCGGCCCTCCGCCCGCAGTCACGAACTCCACGCCCGCCACAGGAGGAACCCACGGCACCCGCAAATGGTTCCCAGGAGCAGCAACAGATGCAACGGGAGCACGAGGAGGAGGAGTGGCAGACGAGGGAAGAGGAGGTGCAGGCGCACAGGGCGCAGCCGGAGGAAGGGACACTGGCGCAGGAGCGACGCGCGTCGAATTGCTCAGGCTCGCCCGCCCGTTCCGTTCCTCGCAAATCGCGTTAGACACAACTCGCTGCAAGTCGGCCATCGTCACCGGCTGATCATACACCCGGCCGCCACCGCGACCACGCCCTCCCCACCAGCCCCCTTGGCCCCCACGGGTTGCAGCCCAGTTCGCCTGCGAACCACGGCGTTGAGGAGAATCGTGCCGCCGCCTTGACGTCTCCCGCTTGTCACGCGGCACAGGGGAATGAGGCCGATGCTGCCAACGGCCCGGGGACGGATGACGTTGAGCAGGGGGAACAGGAGCAAGGGGTGCGGGAACTGGACCCACTTGGACAGTCGGAGGCGGCGCTGGTGTTGCCGCAGGCAGAGGAGCAGGAGCAACCGGAGGCGACGCGCGAGCCGATTGAACCTCCGCCGAGCTTAGGCCGGCGCTGGTGGCTGGAGGTGGCCGGTAAGTCGGGTCCGCAGCAGCAGCGGCAGGTGGCGGCATGGAGGCTGCCCCATCAGCACCAGACGACGCCGCGACTGCAGGCAAGGGCGCCGACACCCCCACGGGGACAGATGGAACCACCGGCGCGGGCGCAGGAGGGTGCGCAGGATCGGACGCCGCAGCCAGCCCAGGAGCGGGCGCAGGAGCAGACGCCAAGGCGAGCGCTGGAGCGGGCGACGACGCGGGCGCGGGATCAGGTCCCGCGGCAGGCGCAGACATCAACGCTACGACGGGAACGGGCGCCGCAGCAGGCGCAAGGACAAGGCCAGCCTGAGTCACAGATGACGGCACAGATCGAGGTGCGGGAAGAGGCAACATCCCCATAGCCGCAGGCGCCGAGGACGACACGGCTGGAGGGGCAATTGCAGCCGACGCCACGACAAAGGGCCGCGGCGAGTACGAATAATACTCATCACCAATCGATATAGGCATCGCGGGGCGGACGAGGTGGCGGATGAGGAGGAGCGACTGGAAGGGGAGGCAGACCTGAGAAAGGCTTCCAGAGGGAAGCACGCCGGGCCTTAACTCAAAGAGTGGAGAACACTGAAGCTTAGGAGGAGGCAAGAGACCCTACGTTTATAGCTGAGGTGGTGGAAGAGTCCACCACGGAAGAATCGGGGGAGTTAGAGGAGGGGGAACGGGAAGGTAGACGTCGGGCGAACCCAACACCACACCGAGCCGCTCCAATTCCAGTAGCAACAGGTGGCGAATTAAACTGGCCGGTACCGGACACCACCACATCAGAGGTCCGCCAATTCTCGCCTGAACAATTGGCCGAGGACTTGGTGCGGTTCGGCGAAGTGGAATTGTGGGACCTGACCCCCCTACGCGACAGTCGTCAGCCCCCACTTTCGCGCAAACTCCCTGCTGACATTCGCCCACTTTTCGCCACAGCCCTCCTGACACCACTCCTTCACCTCGCGCGTAACCCTAGTCGCAGGCTGGCGCCTGTTACTCTTTCTCCCGCGCCTCACCCTTCGCCTCCCGTCAACGGAGAAGCCCGATTGGTCGGCGGTCAAGCACCGACTTCGCTAGTTTAACAAAGGCGAATGGCAGCAACTTTACGATTCGGCGGTTACCGCAATCACTGGACCACACCCACCTCGCCATACGCCAGATGCCCTTGGCAAACGTGCCAGGGCAGAAGGCCTTGCACGAAAAGGAAGCCTCCGCAGGGCGATCCTCGCCCTTGAGTCAACACCGGTCGCCGACCCATCTGCACCCATCCTCGCCGCTCTCAAAGCAAAACACCCCCCCGCGCCACATGGTATCATCGATTGGAACATCCCCGATACTGCTCAAGCGGCGTTGATAAAAAAAGGGGACTTCATTAAAATGCTATGCCGTTGTGAGAACGGGGTGGGAGGAGGACCGTCGGGTATGACATTTGAACACCTGCGTGATGCATCACTTGCCAACGCGGGGGTTACCACACACCTCCACGCCCTCGTCAACACTATTTTGGGAGGCAAACTGCCTGGCAAGGTCTGCTCGCTACTAACAGCCAGCCGTCTCATAGCTCTAGCCAAGCCTGACGGAGGAACTAGACTGATAGCGGTAGGCGAGTGTATCTTACGATTAGCCGCCAATTCCGCCCTCTCAGCCCTCTCCCAAGCATGCCGTACACATTTCCTCCTGTTACAGTACTCCGTGTCCGTCCAGGGCGGTAACGAAGTGATTATCCATGCCGCGAGGGCCTTCACTTATGCAAACCCAGGAACGCTTATACTGCAAGCAGACCTAGCGAACGCCTTTAACTCGATTAGCCGCGCAGCAGTAGTCAGTGCACTTCGCGACACCGACCTCCAAGGCCTTATTCCCCTCGTCAAAGCATCCTATAGCAGGCCGGCCCAGTTGTTCCTTGACGTGGGGTTCAGTTGCGAGGCACTAACTAGCGAGACATGCGTACGACAGGGGGATCCGCTCAGCCCGCTGCTGTTCGCCACAGGGATCCACCCTATTCTCACCACGACAGCAGCAGCCTTCCCTACGGTTCTATGCCTAGCATTCGCTGACGACATCACCTTCCTGGGCCTTGCTGCTGACTGTTCTGATGCTTTGCGCCACTTCACAGCTGGCCTACGCAACGTAGGACTGACCCACAACCCAGGGAAGTGCGCCGCGTGGAGCGCAGCAGCAATAGACCCCCAGCAGCTGCCCGAGGGCGTCCCGCTACGCACGGAGGGGCTGAGAGTGCTGGGAAGCTTCATTGGCACGCCAGACGGAGCAGCAGCCTTTCTACGATCACAGCTCGAGACAGTGTCGTCCCCGCTGCCCCACTTAGCAAAAATGGACCCCTAGGTAGCGACATTACTCCTAACACGGTCTATCTCCAGGTGCATTTCTTACCTGGCCCGCACCACACCCCTATACCTGTTACCCGAAGCAGAGTGGTCAGGGTGGGGCCGGGCGCTGCTGTACACGCTTCTAGATGCTTGTGGGGTGCGCCACCCAAGGGGAGAGACAGAGGACGGACGTATCTGGGACCAAGCCTCACTCCCACCAAGCCTAGGCGGCCTGGGCCTCACCAACCCAGCGGTAGAGGGCCGGTACAGTTTTCCGGCAAGCTTTGTGCAGGCACACACACTCCTCGGTCAGCTAGAGGGGCAGGCAAGGGCCACTTTGACAGCGGCATTAGACACCCCCGCAGCAGCCGACCACAGCCCCAACGAGCTGCAGAGGTGGATCGGGGACTACAGGGACAGCCTCACGCAGGAGGCGAGGGACCTCATCTCGGCGGAGCAGGCAAAACCCAAGGGCCAGCTCCAGCACCGCCTCGCTCTCCTAGTTCAAGGGGGCCGGAGTGCAGCCCAGATTACGGCATCCAGGCAGATGGAGCTGAACCCCCTGCTAGGCCACACCCAGCGCCTCATGTCCCTCACGGGCTATGGGGCGGGGGACTGGCTCATGGCGATCCCCTACATGCCAGCCCTGTGGTTATAACCCTGCCACTTCACGTTCGCCCTACAGTTCCGGCTCGGCATGCCGATCTCTGTGCCTGACTACTGTGACCGCAACAAACGAGTCCCCATTCTAGATAAGAGGTTGCCGAATCACTTGCTGCGGTGCGATACTGGGCACAGCCGGACCAACACTCACGATGAGCTATGGGATGAGTGCATTCGTATGGCGCAGGATGCAGGATTTGATGTGCACAAGGAGTGCACTGCCTTCAGCCCGGTGGACAACAAGAAGGCCGACTTGGCCTTCAGGGATGGGAGCTTGGGGGCAGTGTGGCTGGCTGATATCACAATCACAGATCCAATCAGCAAACGGGACGAAACTGCAAGGAAGGGGAGGGGCTGGGCAGCACTGGAGGCAGCAGATAAGAAGATAGGCCTATACCTCTGCAGGGCAGAGTATGCTGGGTTTGTCCCGTTGGCAGTAGAAACCTACAGCTGCCCCTGCTACGAGGTTCCCACCTTCTTGAAGCTACTGGCGGATAAAGCTGCACGGAAATTCTTCAATGCGGACCCATCTACCTATCAGGCCGCGAAGATGCTCCATCAGTTCTGCCAGCACTGGTCTATTGCCCTCCAGAGAGCTCAGGCAGTGAGCTTTCTCACAAAGCTGAACCTGGCAGCACGAGCAGAGCACCCCCCACTGGGGGGACCAGAGGGGGAGATGAACCCCGGTGACTTCTTCACGACACTAGAGGCACCTTAGAGGGAACGGGGCTGGGGTAGGGGGGGGGGGGGGGGGAAGAATAGGGGGGGGATGTGTTTGCTTGCTTGTCTTTGTGCTATCTGGAATCCATCCCTAGAATCTGCATGTCTGTACCTGCCCTTATTATCAATACAAAGGACCGTTTAAGAGAGAGAGAGAGAGAGAGAGAGAGAGAGAGAGAGAGAGAGAGAGAGAGAGAGAGAGAGAGAGAGAGAGAGAGAGAGAGCGAGAGAGAGAGAGAGAGAGAGAGAGAGAGAGAGAGAGAAGCACCTAGTGACTTAGCCTCTCAAGCCTCCCCTAGCCTCCCTAGCCTCCCTAGTCCTAGTATAAAGGCCCCAGCAGGCTTTGTGGCCTCTTCATTATTCAATTTTTGGTTGGGTTTCTCTCCTTACCGAGCGGCTCGCGCCGGCCGCCTTCGGCGGCCGACGCTCGATAGCGCGGCCTTCGGCCGCGCGTGAGGGGTGGCAAGATACACACAAGACAAGCCACTATAGGCACGCATACAAGCATGGAACACACAACACTAGCCTAGGTGAAACATGGAGCAAGAGGAGCCCGCATCTACAGGCGACCAGCTCCTGGGGCATGCGGACGCTACACTTGATCCGCGTCAAACACAGCAAGCAGCCCCGACAGCGTGCGATGCAGCTCATGCACCAACACCGTGCCTGCGGCGATCGCCCCGGATCCAGTCCCTGCATGCAACAACCGCCGCAGCCCACGTACGGCCGAACCAAGGGGCCCGACCCCCGCAAGCCCACCCGGCGCGGGCGCAGCCAACACGGGCGCTAGCAGCTCGGCGAGGCGATCAGCTGCCGCGAAACAATCGTCCCGAGGGCCGCCCACCAGTGAGTCGCCCTGGGATAGGGCGGCATGACCATACACCTGCACCAGATGCACAACCCGCAGCGCCTCTGAGAGGCGCCAGATCTGACCAAGAGTCACCTCCGGAACCGCGACCGGACGCTGAGGCCCCAGTAGGGCCGAGAATAGGTACGCCGCACCTGCGGACGGGGGAGATGGATCAACAGGCAGCAGGGACGGATGTTGCGCAGTCACGGGGACATGAGGGGGAGGAGCAATTGCAGGAGGACGAGGGGCAGCCAGGGCAGGAGGTGCTGTTGGAGGAGGAGCCGCGGGGGTCTGAGCAACACGAGGGGAGTTGCTCTGGCTTGCCTGCCCGTTCCGCTCCTCGCGCACAGCAGCAGACACCGCGCGCTGCAGGTCAGCCATCGTCACCGGCTACTCAAACCCCCAGCCGCCACCCCGCTGACGCGGCCCCCGCCAGCCGCCTCGGCCGCCGCGTTGCGCCGTCCAGTTCGCCTGAGAACCGCCGCACCGAGGGGAATTGTGGCGGCGCCGGGACGTCGCGCGCTCGGCCGGACGCGCGGGGGATGGAGGCCGCTGCTGACGACGGCCAGGAGACTGCGGACGCGGGGCGGACGGCGCAGAGGGAGTTGCCACCAGTGGCACAACGGGAACGGCCGCAGGCGGCGCAGACAGACCCGCCGCGTGCGGAGCTGGCGGAGCAACTACAGGCTGGGCAACAAAAGCAGATCCCGCCTGCACAGGCGGAGGAGGCGCCAGCGTCGGAGGCGGTCAAAACGGGGGAGCTGGAGAGGCGGGAAGCGCCGGCTGGCCCTGGACGTCAGTGCTGGCGGACCCCTCCGGCTGGGCCGTCACGCCGCCAGCAACAACCGCCTGCTCGGCGGCCACAGACGGAGCGGTGGGATCGGCAGCCCGAGGAGCGCCAGACGGAGCAGTCACATCAGATGCCGCAGCGAGAGGGACAGGCGGCTCGACAAGAAGAGGTGCAGACAGCACGGGAGCCTGGCGACCATCGTCGCCAGGCAGAGGCGCCAGGGCCTCGCGAAACGACGGTGCGGGGCGAGGAAGGATTTCAGCGTCTTCTGTCTCGGGCTTCGGAGCAGGCAGCGTCGGGGAGCCCGTCGGCATGGTCCCCGTTCCGGAGGCAGGCGGTGGCCTTTCGAACGCAACCAACGCAGCGCCAGCGCTCATTGGCGAATAATCGGTCGGCCCTGCAATCACCATCGAGGGGCCAAGGAGGGCGAGGC